CCCAGCGGAGCCCTGGGGAAGCCCCAGGTTCATGGAGGGGAGAGGGTCCCCCAAGGCCTCAAATCTGGATCGACTTGGGGGCCAGTTTCCTTATCTCACTCCCTCTGGCAGTGTGGGAGAGGCCTCACCCACTTTCCCTCCATGTCAACCACAGCTTCTAGCAAGAGTGGAGGCCAGCCAGGCTTGGAGAAGAGTCCCAAACTGACCGCAGCCCCCAGGCTGCTTCCCCCTGGGCCAGATCTGCACTTGAAACTGGGCACCAATAAAGGATGACGTCTACCCTCCAACTAAGGTCATCTCTGCCGACCCCGCATCCCCTTGCCCACAGGCCCCAGATGGGTGGCGCTGTCCCCTCCACGGGGGTCACTCCAGGTGAGTGGGCAGGTGTTAAACTTGAGGCCCCGCCCATAACCTCAGAGCCCCTGGTTCTCCGCAGGTACTGAAGAGAAGGCGAGGACAAAGCCTGTGGCCTGGGAGACCCCACTATCCCAAGAGAACAGTGAGGAAGCAGCACCCACAGAGACGAAGGTCCCCACCCAGTTCTACGAGGTGGGTACAGGGACCACACCTCCCTAGCTCCCCACTCTCCCAGCATCTGGACCTCAGAACCCAGCGAGAAACCGAGGGGAACAAGGGCCAGGCGGGGAATTCACTTAAACAGGATTGGAGACCAAAATTCCTAACTCCTCCCACATAACCCAATCCCAGACCCTTCAGAGTGAGAGGCACCTCAAAGCACCCCCAGCACCCCAGCCTTCTCCCCAACATCCAACAACGCCAGCCACAAGCCACGTGTATAAGGTGTGCACTTTATTAAACTGGTCTCAAGTCAGTGTACAGGTAAGCCCTGGCTACCTCCGCACCTCAACCCACTCCCAGGGGGACCAAAAGCCTTCATACATCTCAAGATGGGGGACAAAAAGGGGGGCCACGATGGCTGACCATTCAAAATAAAACAAACAAAAAGAACAAGTATTAAGGCAAAGATTAAAAAAAAAATTTGGAGTACATAATTTACACGAAAGCAATGCTATCACCCTCCCCTATGTGGACTCGGGCGAGGACTGGCCCTTCTCCTAAGGGAGAAGTGGGGCGGCTTTTGGGAAGGCAAGGGACCTCCTGTAACAATGCATCTCACAATATTTGGAATGACTATTTAAAAAAAAAAAACAAAACAATGTACAATCAAAGTCCTCGGCCACATTGTAGAACTCTGGGGATGCTCCATCCAACCGACTGCTGTCACCTTCACCGTTCCAGTTTTTAAATCCTGAGTCAAGCGCAAAAAAAACAAAACAAAAAAAAAAATAAAAAAAGACCAAAAAAAAAAACAAAAAACCAAATAAAGCCATGCCAATCTCATCTCGTTTTCTGCACAAGTTAGGTTTTGTCGAGAAAAGGGTGTGACGCAACTAAGAGTCCGCCTAGAAGCACTTGCGGTGGACGATGGAGGGGCCAGACTCGTCGTACTCCTGCTTGCTGATCCACATCTGCTGGAAGGTGGACAGCGAGGCCAGGATGGAGCCGCCGATCCACACGGAGTACTTGCGTTCAGGGGGAGCGATGATCTGGGGAGAGAAAGGCAGTGAGGGCTCTGGCAGTCCCAGCCCTGGTACACCAGGGGCCTACAGCAAGGCAGCTGCCTTGACGACCACCACGCTCACCTGCACCAAAGCCACATCTCACCCCCCAAGTGCCCAGGTCAGCTCAGGCCAGGCACTCACCTTGATCTTCATCGTGCTGGGAGCCAGGGCGGTGATCTCCTTCTGCATCCTGTCAGCAATGCCTGGGTACATGGTGGTCCCGCCAGACAGCACCGTGTTGGCATAGAGGTCCTTGCGGATGTCGACGTCACACTTCATGATGGAATTGAAGGTAGTTTCGTGGATGCCACAAGATTCCATGCCTGAGAAGAAAGAGAAGCCAGACTTAACTTCCAGTGTGGCCAAAGTGACCCTCGTGTGGGGCGGCGGGCATGAGACCTCCTGACTCACCCAGGAAGGAAGGCTGGAAGAGAGCCTCAGGGCAGCGGAACCTCTCGTTGCCAATGGTGATGACCTGACCATCGGGCAGCTCATAGCTCTTCTCCAGGGAGGAGCTGGAGGCCGCGGTGGCCATCTCCTGCTCGAAGTCCAGGGCGACGTAGCAGAGCTTCTCCTTGATGTCACGTACAATTTCCCGCTCGGCCGTGGTGGTGAAGCTGTAGCCACGCTCCGTGAGGATCTTCATGAGGTAGTCCGTCAGGTCCCGGCCAGCCAGGTCCAGACGCAGGATGGCATGGGGGAGGGCGTACCCCTCGTAGATAGGCACCGTGTGGGTGACCCCATCACCGGAGTCCATCACGATGCCAGTGGTGCGTCCAGAGGCGTACAAGGACAGCACAGCCTGGATGGCCACGTACATGGCTGGGGTGTTGAAGGTCTCGAACATGATCTGCACGGAGAGATGGACCATGTCACACTTGGGAAGCCACCGGGAGCAGTGAGGCCAGACTGGGGACATGCAAAGAGTGCAAGGAACATGACTAAGTGTGCTGGGGCTCCCAGGACGGGGATTCACTTCAGACCTATTGTGCACCTACTGAATACACACTCCAAGGCCACTTTACAGCGGCCTCGTCAGCTTTGTCACACGAGCCAGTGTTAGTACCTACACCCACAGCACTTTATGCTTTCAACACCTAGTCAGAAAAGCAAACACGAGAAAAAGATTCCATCTGGGAAATAGCAAATAGAACCTGCAGAGTTCCAAAGGAGACTCAGGTCAGAGAAGAAAGTCCTAGGAAAATGGCAGAAGAAAGAACAAGTGAGAAAGGGCGTGACAAAGAAGGGCAAGAAACGGGGTGCGGGGGTGGCGCCCAGGCGAGGCCGGCGGGCCACTGACCTGGGTCATCTTCTCACGGTTGGCCTTGGGGTTCAGGGGGGCCTCGGTCAGCAGAACGGGGTGCTCCTCGGGGGCCACACGCAGCTCGTTGTAGAAGGTGTGGTGCCAGATCTTCTCCATGTCATCCCAGTTGGTGACGATGCCGTGCTCGATGGGGTACTTGAGGGTCAGGATGCCTCTCTTGCTCTGCGCCTCGTCGCCCACATAGGAGTCCTTCTGCCCCATGCCCACCATCACGCCCTGCGGAGGGAGGAGCAAGGCGCCTTCAGCTCAGGCACTGCCCCACCGACCCTCACCCAGAAAACCGAAGGCCTCCCCCTCCCTCCCTCCGCCTGCTCCCGAGAGGGGAGCCCCACCCACCAAGTCAGACCCGAGGCGGGCGCCTTACCTGGTGCCGGGGGCGCCCCACGATGGAGGGGAAGACGGCCCGGGGAGCATCGTCACCCGCGAAGCCGGCCTTGCACATGCCGGAGCCGTTGTCGACCACGAGCGCAGCAATATCGTCATCCATGGCAAACTGCGGAGAGAACAGGACCATGAGCCGTGCGGCCGCCCCCGCCCTACCCACTTCCGGCGCACCGCGCCTTCGAGCCGCCAGGGGGCGCCGGCGCGCGCCCAGATTGGGGACAAAGAAAGCCGGCCGGCCGCGTTATTACCATAAAAGGCAAACGCGGGTTGGAGGCGGCCCCGCGGCTCGCGGCAGGAAGCCAGGCCTCCGCCCCCCTACACCGGGCGCCGGCCCCGCCCCGCCCAAAAAGCACCACCAGGCGAACGCTCAGCAGCCACACCCGCTGGAGCCGGCGGCGCGAGAAGGAAGTGCGCGCAGGCGCTCTCGCGCCGCGGCGACCCCACCCCTTCCGGCCGGCCGCCCCGCCCTCGCTTCCCGAGCCTAACGCGCACACGCACGCGCACTGGTGTCCCCAGCCCCCACCCGGCCCTGCTGCCCCGCCGCGCCCACCCGCCCACCCACCCTCCCGCCTCGCCGCCCCGCTGCCCCGCCGCCCCGCCGTCCCGCCGTCCCGCCGGCGGAGCGAGCCGCTCGCTCGGACAAAGACCCGCGGTCCCAACGGAAACATTCTGGGAGCGCGCCCCGAGCGCAGCTCCGGCCCCGAGCGAGGAGCGCATGAGTCCACTCCCCGCAGCCAGGAGGCTGTCCACGGGGCCGGGATCGCGCGCTTCCTGCCCGGAGGAGGCGCGGGCCCAGCGCATTAGCGGCCCGGCCGGCGCGGGGCCCTACCTGGTAGCGGTGTAGACCGGCGGCGAAGGCGGAGCGGCGAGGGCGAGGGGCCTGTGCTGACGGAGTGGACGCGGTCTCGACTGTGGCTGCGCGTCGCGCCGCCGGGTTTTATAGGGCGCCGCCGCGGCCGCTCGAGCCATAAAAGGCAACTTTCGAAACGGCCAGCGCTGATTGGCCCCGCGCCGCTCACTCACCGGCCTCGCCGCAAAGTGCAGCATTTTTTTACCCCCTCTCCCCTCCTTTTGCAAAAAAAAAAAAAAGAGAGAGAGAGAGATGGACTGGTAGAGAGCGAGAGCGAGATTGAGGAAGAGGAGGAGGGAGAGAGTTTTGGCTTTGGGTGCTGGGCCCGCGGGTCGTGGGGTGCGAGCCCCGGGCCGCCGCCCAGCTGAGCAGTGCCCGGTCCGGCCCCGCGTGGCCAGGCCTGCACCCGGCCTGCCTGTCACTCCGGGTGCCCCCACCCCGGGACCCTCCGGGTGTGGATGCCCCAGAGCAGTGAGCGACCCGGTGGGCAAGGGTCAGCACAGATGCGAGGGTGCCTGGTTGCTGTGGGCGCATACTTAAGGAACAGTTGGGGGGGAGGGGTGGGCAGCGAGTCACCCCCCTTGTCCACATTAGCTCCACTGCCCAGAAAGCCTGGGTTACAGGGGGGCCTCTGGGGGTGCTGAGCGTGCTGAGTGGGGGTCTCCGTGTGCCATGGGGGCACATTACTACTCAAGAGACCTGGGGCTGAGGACTATGGTGTTTCATGGGGGAGTAAGGGGGTCTGGTGGCCATTTAACAGGGGCTTCAAGACCACAGTCCCCAGGGACAGGGCAGCCCCCCCCCCACACACACACACACACACCACCAGGGGCCAGCGGCTAGAAGTTCCCTGTGAGAAGGGCTCCAAACCTCCGCTGCTGCAGACCTGGGGAGTGGTGGGCTCTGTAGAGCAGAGAAACTGTTCCCATGGAGCTGGGCTGCCTCGGAGCTGCCTGGTCACACCCAGCCAAGGCCAAGCCTGGGCTGTTAGCCGGCGACCCGGGCAGCTGCCAACCACTGCTGGGCGCAGGCAGGCAGGGCCATTTGTCACAGCTCTGGGACCCGGGGCCCACCGTCCATCGTCTGTCTGTCATGTGCAGCCACAGCTGAACTGCCCTCCTGGACCATCTGGAGGCCACCAAGGACTGGGGAAGGACACACAATGTGCCAGAGAGGAGTGAGGGTGAGGGGTGGAGCGGCAGTGACAGTAGCTGAAGGCCAGCTGCCCTCAGAGGAGACCCTCCCACTGCACCTGCTCCTGCCCTGGGTCTCTCCACCAAACCCTGGGGCAGACCTGGGTGCCCCACAGTGTTCTGGGTGCTTCCGTGCTCTGAGAAGTGTCAGGCCGGCAGGGAGAGCCTGCCACCCAGAGGGTGGCCGACAGTAGTCACTGTGTGGTGAAAGGAAACCCAGAGGCCATGGAACCCCCAGAGGGGAATCTGGCCCAACCTGGAGGAGCACGCATCCTCTCAGAGGTGGTGACAAGCTGAATTTTCACACAAGGGAAAACGGGAAGGGTGGTCCAGGTAGAGGCCCTGGCCTGTCGCCCGTGGTCTGTGTCCAGGCACCCCAGGTCTGCCCAGGGCTTTGCTACACACAGTAGGTGCTCACTGAGCATGTGTTGAAACCAGCAAAAGATTCGTCCATATATGGAGGTGGAATCTGGCCAGGGCAGAGGCAGCTTGGGCCAGCCCACTGCAGGAGGCTAGTGCTGGCAGAGCTCTTTGAAGGTTGCAGAGGCCACAAACAGGTAGAAAGGGTGACCGTCTCCCAGCGCACAGCAGAGCCCACGGGCTCAGAGCCACCTGCCAGCGGAATTCCCAGGGATCTGCTCTCAGTGGCTCCCCCAGCCCCGCCCCGGGCCTGGGCAAATGTTCCCAGCCCGTCCACTCCCTGCTTCCCAGGGGCCGGACTGCCCTGTCCCTGGCCTTGTGTGTCTCATTCACGGGCGTCCGGCCAGCCACCCTGGGACCTGCCAACCCTGTGATTCAGGAGCTGTGGTGGGGGGTTGGGGGGGGGTGGGTGACCCTCTTTGCTGCCGGCCGATGAGGGCTGCTCCGGGCTGTTCACTGAGCCTGGTGGGTGCCAGACAGACTGGGACCAGGGCTGCAGGCCAAGGCGTGGGAGACTTTGGTGGCTCCAGGCAGCTACATGGGGTGGAGAGCAAGGCTGGTCCCCAAGCAGGACCTGTGCTGCCACCTCGCCGCTTCTCAACCAGGGGCCGGCCAAGGGGCAAAAGCACCGAGCTCAGGCTGCACTACTCCCGGCCCTCTGTCTGCGGCAGCTGGGAGTCTCCTATGCATCCTTCAAGGCCCATCCCAGAAGGCCCCTACCTGAGGGAGTCCTTTGGCATCTGCAGCATATCCCCCCTCCCCCCAAGACCACTGCACAGGGCCGGCATTTATAACTGGGCCTCCCCGACCAGACTGTGAGCCCTTTCGGGTCTCTGGTCCATCCATCTCCACCCACCATACCCTCCCCAGGGCTCTGATCTGTTGAATGAATAAGTGACCGCCTGGGTGTCCTAGGCCCTGAGAAAGGACCCTGGGAAGATGGAGGGGTGGGGGGTGGGGGCCGCAGGCCTAGCGGGAGAGAAGGAGCTGAAGAGAGACAGCAGCCAGAGGAGGAAAAGAGGAAGTGGAGGGGCCAGAGGAAGAGGGAGGAGACCTCCGGAGAGGAAGTGAACAGGTTCTTTGCCCTTGCAGGGAGTTTTCAGAGCTGTCACCGGGGCAGGCACACAGCCCCCGGGGCCCTTAGCCGGCTCAGCCAATGGGGACTTCACTTGCCTTTCTGGTGCTTTTTTTTTTTCCTCTTGCGGTTCCCCTCCCTGAGAGGCCTCCAGGCCAGGCGACCTTTACAGCCCATAGCAAAGGACCACTCCCCACCTTCCTCCAGAACTGGCCACCCGGCCGCCTTGCTCTGGGTGTTCGGACCCCACTGCTGCCCTGACCCGCGGGGAAACCAAGCTCCATTTTTCAGAGGAAGAAACTGAGGCAGGACAGAGAAGGGGAGACCTTAGGAAGACCTTAGACTGTTGGCTCCAGGAGGGCAGAGCCCCTGCGCACTGTGGGTCCTCACTGAGGAGCAACTGATGGGCAGCATTCTAGCAAATACGCCTCTTGCTACAGATGAGGAAACTGAGGCCAGACTGGAAAAGGGCTTGGAGTCCGGTGTGAGGGATTCCAGGTGTAGGGCCTGGAGGCCTCTCACTGCCTCTGCAGTGTCCCCTGCAGTGTCCTCAGGGACTGGGACCAAAGGCTGTTCCAAAGTCTAAATTCTTGGGTCCCACCTCTGTCCTCAGTGCTTATCTCCTGAGGCCCAGAGAAGACAGCCACTAGCCCTTGGTTACACAACAGGGGGTCCTCAGCCCCAGGCCTGCACGCTGTCACCACCTCTTTCCCCTGCCCTCGTCCCCTGCTCCCAGGATGGTCTCAAGAGGCAATTCTGGACTTCTGGATTCCTAAGGTCCTGGGAGGGACTGGGCTTGGGGTGCCTCTGCCTCCAGGGCCAGCTCTGGGCTGCCACCTCCAGGAAGTCGGCTATGACTTCCTCCCTCCTCTACCATAACAGCAGTAAGCTTTCCTGCCCAGAGAGGGGAACTGACCCAGTCAGGATTACACAGCAAGAGCACAGGCAGCAGCTCAACATCCTGGATCACACTGCTCCTGCATTCCACACACCAGCACCGACCAGCCAGACGTGCTTCCAGAGAAGAAGAGCACCAGACAACACACTGAATAAAGCAGGTGTGATCCCTGAGACAGACCTCAAACAAGAGAGCCAAAGAGAACAAGTGCTGATGCCCAAGAAGGAAAGCAGCGGATTTTCTCAGGAAGGAGGGAGTCAGGGAAGGCCCTCTGAGGAGGTGCCCAGCCAGCTGAAGGGGGCCCCGGAGGCGGGAAGGATGGGCTGGGCCCTGTGTGCTCTCCTGGGCGTCAGCCAGGGCCTTGGTCCCCATCCTGGCCTGGCCTCTAGCCAGAGTCTCTCCCAGGGCTGTCAGTGGGCAGCCTCCAGCCCCTCAGCCTGCCCTGGGCCTCCTGTCCTCCCTGACAGAGCTATCCGCCCGAGGGGGATCCCTGCTCCGGAGAAACTGGGAACTTCCAACACTTCTTGGGAGTGTTTTTAAAAATCCTTAAAAACTACCCTCTCTCTTCCTGTCCCCCAGGGCACCCAGAGAAACGCCACCCTCCTGGGGAGTTCCCAGCCTTGCTTATTTGATTGAATTTTTCAGAAATAGACGTAAGTTTCCCTGGGCTTCCCCCACTACACACACCCAGCTGAGCCCCTTCTGCTGGTCCCTGGAGTCTTCTGCTGGGAGGGCTAGCTCCAGATGAGATGAGATGAGAACCGAGGTGACCCAGGCAGACCCTGAGTGCTGAAAGGCAGAGGCCCCTTGGGGTGACAGCCGTCCAGACAGACAGGGGGCATCTGGCCTCATGCCCCCCGCCCCAGTTGTGGTCCCAGGAGGCCTTTGAGGTCCACTTCTCACCTGGGCCCACCTCAGCCCACCGGGAGTGGGTGGTGACCTGCTCCGAGTCATCTGGCAACCAAGACATCCCTCAGATGCCAGGTTCCTCTGGTTCCCCAGACAGAGGCCTGAGAAGCTGGGGGACAGGTTGGACCACGTGGGGTGGGGTCAGCAGCAATTTCAAGTTCAGGCCAAGCAGGGTTCTGGAGCTCCTGGGCCTGACGCCCCAGAGTGTTGGCAAACATGCCCACGGGAATGGCACAGACAGGAGGCCAGGGGACCCTGCGCCTCAGGCCTCTGTCCCTGGGCTGTGAAAAGGGGCAGGGGGGCGTCTGGCCCCAGGGGGACCAGAAGCAGTCAGTGACGTGGGCTCTCCCATGCCAGGCGCCTGGGGCCACTCGGCCCTTCCTGGCTGGGTGGCCTTGTTCCGGCTCCCTTCCTGGCTGGGCCAGGGGCTCCGAAATGCCCTAGGAGCTGGGGGAGCTGGGGGAGCGGAGGTACAGCTCCCCAGCTGGAGGGGCCGGAGGAAGTGAAAGGGGAACAGGAAGGGGGAAGGGAGGCGTTGGGAAAGTGCAGGCGGGTGGGTGGGGCCGAGGTGACTCAGGAGCCTCAGGCTCACCTACCTCAGGGCGAAGCCCGCATCCGCAGCGCATCAGCGACAGGACAGGGAAGGCAGAGTCCCCAAGGGCCCGCGGAAGCAGAGCCAGACCCACCTGCGCACACAGAACGCTCACCGCGCCCCTGCCGGCCAAGCAGGAATCTCCCCATTTCTCAGAGGAGCCAGCTGAGATCAGTGAGAGCGAGAATCAATTAATTACTGATTACCGGAACCCAGGAGTCTGGGCTGGAGCAGCGCAAAGGCCCACAGCCAGTCTCGAGGGGGCACCCTGAGTCCCTGAGCCTCCAGGGGGCTGCTGTTCTCAGGTGGGCAAACCGAGGCTCAGGGTGGTCAGTGGGCAGTGCAGAGCGGGCTCCCTGCTTGGCCGTGGGGCGCGCCTGGGGCCCCCCGTGGGGCCCTCCTCAGCTAGCGCTGGCTCCTCCAGCCTGGGGCCTGGGGTCCATCCAAGTGGAAACCCAACCGGCTGAGCCGCGCAGCCGTGTAACCAGGCCCTCCTCGGCCAGAAATCTCAGCCGCCGGCTGGGCTGGCCAGGAACCTGAGCCGGCTCGGTGGCCTGAGCTTCCTGATGTCTCCCCTACGCCCAGCCCTGTGCCAGCTGCCGGGGAGACAGGGGACCAGCCCCTCCCCTTGGCCTGCACTGTCCACTGGGACACAGTCCTAAACCCATGAGACTGGTTCTGTACGAGCCCAGAGAAGCCCCATCTCAGGCTTGGGTGTGATGGGTCAGGCGGGGAAGGGGTTTCCCCTGGCACAGCAGCCCCTGTTGGGGGCCGGGGGCCGAAACCAGGGTTCCCCCTCCCCAGAGGGGCCCTGTTCCCTCCACTTCCCAGGTCCCCAGTGAGTAATTCGGGCTGTCTGAGTCATCCGGGCTGCTGAGACCCCAGCACTGGGGGCACACAGGTGCACCTGAGGACACGTGTGCCCACACCTATGACCCAGAACACGTAGTGGCCAGGCTGGGGGGTTGGTCCAGACCCAGGTAGGACTCAGCGATAAACCCACTGTGCACAGGGCCAGGGGGCTGCATGCTGTGCCCTCTTAGCTAAGCCAGAGCGAAGGGAGCCCCAGAGCAGCTGGGGACCCCAGGAAAGAACATAGCACCCTCTTCCCGCCGCGAGGCCCCACAGAACGGTCAGCTCGGCGTCCCGTCTTTTGGGGACCCTGGTCCTTCCTTTTCTGATCCACTTTCAGGCTCTGTGTTAAGTAGGACAGAGTTGTATCCCTCACCCCTGGATGTCCTCGGAAAGGGACTCGGCACCCCTGAGCCCACCAGGGGCAGCAGGACCGAGTGTGGATCGTGCCCTCTGAGTGGGCCTTCCTGACCTTTCAGGGGCTTGTCACAGACAGCCTGGACGGTGACCATCACCGGCCTACTTACCAAAGGGGAAACCAAGGCCCAGAGATGGGCAGAGTCTCACCCAGCATCACACAGCACATGGGGCAAGCCAGAGCCCAGGCCTGGAGGGCTGGGGCTTCGCATTTTGTGTGCTGCCAGGATGGCGAGGAGGATGCTAAGTTTTCTGCCGGGAGTACCAGGCTGGTCTGTCCAGGATGGGTGCAGGACCCCGCTCCCCTCGGCCAAGATGGCTCTAAAGCCGACCTGCTGAGACAGCCCAGGAGCCGTGCAAGACCTACTCCTTCTGGCAGGAAGCACACACCGTCCTGGTGGTCCAGGTCTGGCCAGACGCAGCCCTGCTGACGTGCATCTGACGAGGATGAGGGCCTGGTCCCTCATCCCTCCCTGAGTCAGAAGGACTCCAGGTCCCTCAAAGGCCCTGGCTCAGGGGCCTCCTGTCTACCCCTAGTTGCTCCCTCTCTGTGGGTGGGGGGACCCTGGAGGGCAGGGCCCGGGCTGGGTCATCCTGGTTCCCAGACATGTAGGCAGGGGACTGCAGAAGTGGGTGGAAAGTTCTGTGTCCAGCTCTGAAATCTCCTCTCTGGGGACACAGCTGAGCAGGTTGTGTGTTGGCGGCCTCGGCAAACTCACTCATCTACGTCGCAGAGCTGTAGGGAGGGGACAGGTGAGCCAACAGACACATTGGAGCTGGGCCTGCTCGGAGCCAGTACAGGGTGGCCATTGCTGGCGACTTGGGCCAGGCGTACTGTGCCTCTGTGACACGAAGGCCATGTACCGCATATGGTCCGTCCCAGGCTTACTGGGGGGCTGCAGGAAGGGCGGGGGCTCCAACAGGGGACATGTGTGCGCATGTGCAGCGCTGTGCCTCTCCCTGGTCTCCGGGCCTGTCACACACAGAGCAGGGCCCAAGAGGGGTGGGTTGTGGGGAGGAGGGAGCCTTCATCTCCTTCTGGATTGTTCTTCCACCAGAGAATACCGGTATAGCCTTTGGGCAAGAAAGAGAGGGGAAAGGCAGGGAGGGGAATGAGAAAAAGAAGTGAAGGGGCATTTTATTTTTATTTTTTTAGCCATGCCACAAGGCTTGTGGGATTTCAGTTCCCCGACTAGGGATTGAACCCAGGCCACAGCAGTGAAAGTGCGGGGCCCTAACCGCTAGACCACCAGGGAATTCCCATGAAGGGGTATTTTAAACAAGAGGCCACCCAAATCTCCACATCGCCAGCAAAGATAAAAAGAGTGTTGACATCACGGGTCATCCGGGAGATGCAAATGCAAACCACAGTGAGATCCCACTTCACACGCAAGAACAGATTCTCTATGATCCTGTGTTCATCTGTGTGCAGAGGTCAGGCCAACGGTGCCCTTTGGGGAGGACCGACTGGAAAGGATGTGATGGAGGGACCTGCACATGTCTCTTGATCTGGGTGCTGGGTACTGTGAGTGTTCAGTTTGTGGCAATCCAAGTAGCTGCACAATGATAATGTGCGTCCTTGCCTAGACGGCAGCTAGTTTGGGAGTGTGGCTGCCCGTCCCCCCACCCCACCCCCACCCCCTGCTCCCGCCAGCCTCACTCTACACTCCAGACATGCTGGCCTCTAGCCCTTAGAGCACCAAACTCCCGCCTGCCTCAGGGCCTTTGCACTTGCTGTTCTGTCTGTCTGTAATGGACCCTTCTTCCCACACACATCCTTTCTGCTTCTTGAAGTTCTGCTTATCCTTCAGGGCTCGGTGTAAACATCACCTGGTCCAGGGGGATCCCTAGACAAGGGCAGGGTTCTTGTGGCTCCTGCACTTCTTTGTCATGCTCGTCACAGCCGATTCTTGGGTGTATCTGTGTGATCATAGGTTTATTCTCTCCCTCCATGCTGCAAAGGCAGGGACCACATTTGTTTTGATCACTGTGGGATCCCCATCTCAGGGTGTATAGTCAGTACCGTTTTGGGCTTCTTTTTTTTTTCTTTTTTTGGGTCTCAATTGCTGCGTGCGGGCATTCTCTAGTTGCGGTGAGCGGGGGCTACTCTTTGTTGCGGTGCACGGGCTTCTCACTGCGGGGGCTTCTCTTGTTGTGGCGCATGGGCTCTAGGTGTGTGGGCTTCAGTAGTTGCGGCACACAGGCTCAGTAGCTGTGGCTCGCAGGCTCTAGAGCGCAGGCTCAGTAGTTGTGGCGCAAGGGCATAGTTGCTCTGCGGCATGTGGGATCTTCCTGGACCAGGGCTCAAGCCCATGTCCCCTGCATTGGCAGCTGGATTCTTAACCACTGCTCTACCAGGGAAACCCCAGCTTTGGGCGTCTATCTTCAGATGGAGGAAAGGAAGGGAGGAAGGGAAGATGGATGGATCCAGTTCTCTACAGAAGGGACAGAGGTCGCAGGAATGGATGTACTAGCTCTCAAGGGTGTGAACACCCTGTGCCAGGAGGGTGTGGGCACAGCCGTAGCAGGAATGATGTCCCAGGACTGCCAAAGCTGATGAGGAACAGGCCTGGGGAGGAAGGGGTTTGGCCAGCTCAGGGCTCACACCTTCCAGCGGATGTTGACGGGATGGGTGTATGGGAGGCTGGGTGTCACAAGAAGTCCTCAGGTCTCTGGGCTGCAGCTGACTCACCCAGTGTCTGATATCACTCACAGGTCAGACTTGAGCCTTGTTCTCCGGAAGTCTCCAGGGAAAACAACTGTTTGATATCCTGAACGTGTGAGGAGCTGAACTGGAGGAAGAGCAACCCAGCCCAAGGATCAAGCAAGGCTTTCCACAGGAGGGGTCTTTTTGGCTGGGCTTTGAAGTATGAATAGGAGTTCACAAAGGAGACAATTTAGAGGGGGCTTGACAGAAGGTATGTTGGGAGAACTGCAAATATCTGATGTGGCTGGGAACTTTGGAAATTGAGTCCATAGAAACCTTAATGGGGAGATCTGGGCTCAACACCATTTTTGTTCTGGCCAACACTCAGTAGAGTACATGGAGGCCCCATCTGAGAAAGACCCCAACTGGGTGAGCAGGGTTGGGGTGGGCATGGGGTTGGTGGAGCCCTCTTAGCACAGCTCAGTGGGGGCTGTGAGTCCTTACCCCTTGGAAGGAATGTACTGGGCCTTGAATTCAGGTCCCATTGTACAGGTGGGGAGACTGAGGTAGGCAGGGTCAGAGCTAGGCTCGAATAGCTGGGTTAAGCTTGGGTTCTGGAGCCCATAAGGGCAAGAAACAGGCCCTCCTGGAAGTTGGACACCCTGCAGACGCAAGTTTACGGGGCCAGCCTCTGGGGTCCAGCGCTGGGGGTACCATGACACTCACCAAAGAACTGGCTGGAAACAAGGAACTAGAACTCTGCAACAGGTGACAGCTGCAGGGCCTCTGTGCTGCCCTCCCCCAAAGCTGTCAGGTGCCCCTTCCTCTCCTAGTCAGCCTCAGCCTTGGCCCAGAGAAGGAAAGCAAGATGCAGGGCCACACAGCAAGAACGCAGCCTTGGAACTCAGCCAGGAGGTGGGAAAGTGCTTCCCAGGTCTGGAGATTTGCTGGCGCCCAGGATGCCTGGGGTGGGTGTGTTCTCAGAGGACTGGCGTGGACTCAGGAGCTGGGACTTTGTCCGCAATGGTAATGGGGAGCTATAGAGGGTGGGGGAGCGGGAGAGGGGAGGGCCATGTCTGATGTTTCAGCAGATGGCTCTCCATTATGAAAGGGCCCAGGAGGCTCCAAAACTAACTCTGTAGCCTCAGATTTCAGATTTCTGTCTGTCTCTGGCCAAGTAGGAGTTTGTATTAGAAATACTAGCGCTATACAAATAATTATAATAATAGTAATGAGAATAATAACCTATGTGTCTGTGATACTCTTTCATTTTTCTGATGTTCTATAATTTGATTTTATCCCATGGCAACCCCAAGAGGCAGGAAGGGCAGCTTTCATCATGATGTTTTAAGTCGTGGGTAGCAAAGCTGACAGTCGAGGTTGGGGACCTGCCTGGGGTATGGGGAGCGTGCAGCTCACTCACGTTCATGCAGGGCCACGCTTACCTGCATGAGGTGAGGTGGTGAGCCCCCAGCTGGGACCGACTGTCGCTACATGCCCAGATGCCCTTCATGAGCCTCTAGGAGGCAGGCCCTGTCCTGCTCACTCCCCATTAACTGCCCCATGAGGCAGGGGCCTTGATGTTTCCCCAAATCCAGGTGAAGCCCAGAGGAGTGAGGGGACATGCCCAAGGTCACACACAGCCAGGGAAAGATGGCAAGAGGGGGAATATCTGCCATCTCTGTGACTCTGGGCAAGTCACTTTACTGGCAAAGGCCCTCAGTTTTCTCACTTGTAAAATGGGGGTGAGGACTTCCCTGGTGTCACAGTGGTTAAGAATCCGCCTGCCAATGCAGGGGACACGGGTTGGAGCCCTGGTCCGGGAAGATCCCACATGCTGTGGAGCAACTAGGCCCGTGCACCACAACTCCAGAGCCTGTGCTCTAGAGCCGGCGAGCCACATCTACTGAGCCCTTATGCCACAACTACTGAAGCCCATGCTCCTAAAGTCTGTGCTCTGCAACAAGAGAAGCCACCGAGTGAGAAGCCTGCGCACCGCAACAAAGAATAGCCCCTGCTCGCTGCAACTAGACAAAGCCCGTACGCAGCAACGAAGACCCAACACAGCCAAAAAATAAATTAATTAACTTTTTTAAAAAGGGGGTAAAAACTGTGTGGGGCTGCTGGAAGGACGAAACCAGAGTGTAAGTCGAGGCGTCAAAAAACATGCAGCTGGGGCTGCCCTGGTGGCTCAGTGGTTTAGAATCCGCCTGCCAATGCAGGGGACACGGGTTTGAGCCCTGGTCTGGGAAGATCCCACATGCTGCAGAGCAACTAAGCTCGTGCGCCACAACTACTGAGCCCACACTCTAGAGCCCACGAGTCACAACTACTGAGCCCGCGTGCCACAACTACTGAAGCCCGCGCACCTAGATCCTGTGCTCCGCAACAAGAGAAGCCACTGCAATGAGAAGCCTGCGCACTGCAACGAAGAGTAGCCCCCGCTCGCTGCAACTAGAGAAAGCCCGCGCAGCAACGAAGACCCAATACGGCCAAAAATAAATAAAGAAAATAATTTTTTTAAAAAAATTATTAAAAAAAAAAAAAGTATCTGCCTGCCGATGCAGGCGACATGGGTTCCAGCCCCGGTCCGGGAAGATCCCACATGCTGTGGAGCAACTAGGCCCGTGCGCCACAACTACTGAGCCTGTGCTCTGGAGCCCACGAGCCACAACTACTGAGCCCACGTGCCACAGCTACTGAAGCCTGTGCGCCTAGAGCCCGTGCTCCGCAGCAAGAAAAGCCACCGCAGTGAGAAGTCCGTACACCGCAACGAAGAGCAGCCCCTGCTCGCCACAGCTAGAGAAAGCCCACGCGCAGCAACGAAGACCCAACGCAGCCAAAAATTAATTAATAATTCAAATAAACAAAAAACGAAAACAACCACGGAGCTGGACTTCCTTGGTGGTCTAGTGGTTAAGACTCCGCTTTCCCAAGGCAGGGGGCACGGGTTCGATCACTGGTCCGGGAAGATCCTGCATACCATGTAAGCGCAGCCAAAAAAAACCAAAAAAGACATGGAGTTGCTGGGCTGTGGTTACAACTGCTCTTGTTTCCAGGGAAGAACCGGGGGCCAGTGGCCTCTCTGTGGTACCTGCTCATGGTTGGTTTTGGGGGAGGGGGTGGGGGGGTGTAGGGAGGAGGAGAAAGGTGTTCATGTATCAGCAGATAAGCTAAGCTTCCTGGTTCTGCCCTAGCCCACTCCCAGGGTCCTTATGAGCGGAGAGCAAAGGACAAAGTGCAGGGGCTGGAATCTGGCCTCGCCCTGTCATCCAGGGGCACTTGTAGGCATATGTAGGCTTAGTCATGACAGTCACCTTTCCCGGAGGGTGTACGGGGTGTGACGCCAGGCTTCCAGCTCAGGAATCTGAAAATATACGTGCACACCTCCGCCCACCTTTCCCTATCCTCCACTGAAATGTCACCCCAGGCCTGGGGGCAGGGGAAGTATCCACTATGGGCCTAGAGACCTTAGGGGCCCCCACCCTTAGGAAGGGCAGCGCCAGGACTCCTGGCCAGGTCTTGCTGACCCCGGAGGAGGGAGGGAATTGTGCGGGTGTCGCGGAGCATTTGCAGCAGGGCTGGACCAGGGTCTTCAGGCCCTGCGGCAGCCCCATCTTCTGCCGCTCAGCTCCTCGGGCCTGTGAACTCCCTCCAAGGCCTGGCGATTTCTGGGGGGGACTCAGGAGAATCTCTTCGGGCATAGCTGGGACAGCATTCCCCGTGTCCAGACCCTCTGGTCGGGGTTCATGAGGCCCCACGACAGAAGAGCAGAACCTTCGCAGCACCCTGAATCACACCCTGCTGTCTCTGGGCCTCAGTGTGCCCACCTGCAAAATGGAGCCCAGTGGCCTCAAACCAGCCTTGCAGGGTCCCAGCTGGACTCTGGACCACACGGATGTGGTGGAATACTGGGTTCCCAGAATCCCACAGCCCATCCCGGCCCTCCTCCCGTACAGTGGCCAGGGCTGGAGCTGGTGGCTGTTGAAGGTGGAGGAGAACTTTGTTGGGGGTCTGGACCGGGAGACACTGAGCTGCAGGACAGAGGCCCTGACTCTCCCAGGTCAGGGGAGCGGGGAGGGGGTGTGTCTAAGTCATATCAGAGGGTGGGAGCCCATCTGGACACCTCAGGTAAGTAACTGTCTGGGGTCCCAAGGTGAGCGTGCTCAGACCCATCCCCAGGCAGGTCGTAGGAGCCCAAGGCCAGGGCCAGGCTTGGCCGGCAGAGGTGGAGGCTCCGCCTCCCCTGGGCTCGGCCGCTGGGGGCCGGGGTGGGGTGTTTATTATCTGGCGTTCCCAGGCCCGCGCGGCTCACGTGGCCGTGGCTCGGGGCCTCCCGCGTCCCAGGGCCGCTCGGAGATAAGCCTGGTGCTCCCAGTGCGTGTCCAGCGCGGGCCGGGCCGCAGCTCCAGGTCCCCACCCCGCCCCTCGGACCGGCCCGGCCCACTTGGCCCAACTTCCTCTCCATAAAAGGCGAGGTTTGGGAGCGCCCGGGGAGGGGGCGCTGGCCTCACAGGCCCGGCCCCCGCCGAGGTTTGCCTGGGCCGCCCCCCCATGCCCCTCCCCCCAGGGAGCTGTCGCGGGCCTGAGCGCCCCGGGTTGGGAGGGGGGCATAGCCCAGCGCCCGGGTGTTCTAAATCCCTGACTCTCTCCTCCCAGACCATCACCCCGAGTGCGCTCCCCACTCCAAACCGGACCCCCTGTACTCCCCGCATTTTGCGTTTGAACAAACGGAGGCCCACAGCGTGGCAGGGCCGGGGGCGGGGACTGAAGACCAGCAGGAAACCATACACGTGCCCCGAGGGTCGCGGTGCGACTCAGCTCCGCACAGACGCACAGGAATTCTATTCCGTGTGGGGCGTATGTGAGTTCTGACGCCCCTAGGATTGGGGTACCTGCTCCCAGACATACTTATGTTAGGCCCCTCGCATTGCCACTTAGCTCCCTGACCTGGGACTCACAGCTTCAGTCTACCATCTGTTAAATGGGGAGATGATTTTCATCTCCCCGCAAACGTAAAGTACAACAGCCAGCCAGGGGCAGGTGAGGGGGAGGACCAAGGGGGAGCTGCTTCTCCCCTCCGGGGAGAGCCCGCGTCGGGCTGTGGTTCGCGGACCCAAACCCGCTCTCAAAGGACTGCTGTGAAGCCGAGAAATCTGGAGGCCGGGAGACAAACAGTGGGTGCTCAATAAATGCAGCTGCGCGCCCTTGGGAGTGTGTCATCTTTGTCCCGGCCCTGGGCTGGGAAGCAGGGCCTTTGGGTGTCATCGGGTGCCACCCCGCCGTGGTGCGATGTGACCTTGGCAGGGCTCCGCCCCTCCCCGGACCTCAGTTTCCCTCTCGGTAAATCTGGGAGGCTGGGCCTGGCCAGCTGGGGGTAGGGGTGGGGTGGGGGAGGTGGGGGGAGAGGATGGGCGGTCCTCGGGGAAGCGCCCGCAACCCCCCGCCGCCGCCCGGCCCCTCGCAGTCGTGCCCTCAGCCCCTCGGCCGGGGGTGGGGGGGGGGCCCGGGAGGCCACGTCCGCTGCCGGCGAGTCCGCCATAAAAGGCAACCGGCGGCGGGGCGCGCGGCCAAACTTAGTCATCCGGCCCGCGGGCCGCCCGGCGCGCGCCGCGCTCAGCTTCCTCCCTGAACTTCCCGTGTGCCGAGGGGCCCGGGAGGGGTCCGAGGTGCGGCTGCGCCTTTCGAAACGTACGCGCTTCTCAAAAGGGCCGGCAGCGGCTGGGCCCTGGGGTGGGACGCCCTCGGGGAGGCTGGCAGGCTTGGCCTGGGGGGTCCCGGGCTGGGAGCGCCCTCGGGGAGGCTGGGAGGCTTGGCTTGGGGGGTCCCGGGCTGGGGACCCGCCGCGGACGCCACCGCCCCGCCCCCAGCCAAGTCGGTCTGCGGCGCTTTAACCCCGGAGCTGCTGGACAGTCTGGCGCCGGGGCGGGCGGGCGCCTGGGCCCCGCAGGGTGACCTCCAGAAGATGCCTGCGAGGGAGGCCGAGGTCACTGCCCAGATCAATCTAAGCGAAGCCCCGGGGAGAAAAGTGCAAGGCAGTCAGGTCGAGTTTGTAAAATGTAAAAACACTTTGTGAAACCACCAAAATACCGGCCTCAGGAGCAGGGATAGATGAGAAGGGTATGGGATGAAATACGTGCAAAGTCCGGAGTAACTAGCCAGAAGCACCCAGATGGAGCAGCCGCAGGCTGTCTGGTTCAGGCC